CTTGGACTATTTTTTCAAGAAACAACCGTCCTTTTTATACCACAAGCTAATATTTTGAGAACAAGAGAAGCTATGAGGCTGCTTTAGACATATCTTTACGTCCTGACCAATGTATCAAAGAATAACAGCCCTAAGCGCCACCGAAGACCGGTAACTATAGGAAGAACATGCCCTATGGGCCACTGACAAACCAATGTGTTAAGAAGTTACTCACAATCCCTATAGACCGATGTGTAAAATAATAATTGCCCTATAAAAAGCTTATGGACCGGTTCAGAAAGTACACAAACCCCTCCCCTGACCCCCAACAAACCCATACTTGAGAAAAAAACTGCGCTAAGGGCCGCATGCACTAACCTCCCCGCTGGGGAGGGGATCGCAGCTTAAAAGAAAGCTTTATATTTCGAAACTCCAGATACCTGGATTTCACGTTGTGTATCTATCCGTAAGTATTCCTACTACCCTTCACTATGAACATGTTGAAGAGGAGCGAGAAGCTGTACGAACCGCAATTTCCAGCTTTTGTATGATCCCTGATGATCCCCGGCGCTATTCTTTAAATCATTTTTCTCTCTCCGAAGTTAACGAAAACCTTCCAAAGTTGTACTGAACATCTAACACAACAGTGCTAAGCATGTTGCTGATGAGAAAATGAGTTTTTGAAAAGTCGAATTTTTCGGTAATCCTCAAATTTTGACCCGTGGATCATAGAAAATTTCATGACTTCAAAACATCATTTGTTCTTATCAGCAACATGCTTAGCACTGTCAGGTTAGATAATCTGCACAACTTTGGAGGTTATTCGTTGACTTCGTAGAAAGAAAAATGACTTTAAAGAAAAGCGCCGGGGATCATCAGGGATCATACAAAAGCTGGAAAATGCGGTTCGTACAGCTTCTCGCTCCTGTTCAACAAGTTCATAGTGAAGGGTAGTAGGAATACTTACGGATAGGTACACAACGTGAAACCCAGGTATCTGGAGTTTCGAAATATAAAGCTTTCTTTTAAGCTGCGATCCCCTCCCCGCGGGGATGTTAGTGCATGCGGCCCTAAGGCCGCCCTACAGACCGATATTCTGAGAAAAAGCTACCTTACAACCATTCTTCCCCCCCCCCCCTCCCCTCCTCCCCTCCTTCCCCCATAGACCAATAATTATGAGAAGGCGCTGCCCTATGGGAATCAGCCCGATATCCTAAAGTATTCTATTACCCTAGAACCCCTACAAACTGTACTGCCGTACGAAGCGCTCACATACGATCTGCTCTATGGAGCCAAAGACTGAAGTTTTGATCGAAAAAATGGAGCTACCAGCTACTTAGATACCTACACAACGGTATTTCGAGGAAGTGCCCTTAAAATCCATACAAATCGATATTCTGTGATAAAACTGCTTTACGGGCCTCTTACAGACCAAAATTTCAAAGAAGAAATGCCGTATGAGATTCTACAGACCAATATTTGAAGGGAAAAAACTGCCCTATGGGCCTGGAATAGAGCCGCCCTATGGGGGAAGGGGGGGGAGGGAGGGGCGGTTGCAAACCGATATTTAGTGAGAAACTGCCCATGGGCCTCTTGCAGGCCATTATCTTGGTAAGGAAGTGCCCTATGCGCCTATAGAACAAATATAAAAAAACATATCTTGAAAAAAAATTGCTTCAAGAGCCGCTCATAGATCGATATTTGAGAAAGAACCGCTCTGCGAGTCCCTTATAAACAAGTATTTGTGATTTCCCAGTATCCAAACAAAAAAATAATTATGAACCGCTTACGATATTCACGTTCATGCAAAGCAACTTTCAAATGGACTTTCCTATGCGCCGCATACAGACCGACTATTCTAGGAGATGCTCCGGCCGCTTATAGATCAGCATGAGAAACAATTTTGCCATATGCGAAGCTTATGGAACGATAATTGAATGGTTTGTGGAAAAAACTCGCTACGTGAAACTTACAGATCAATACTATTGAAAGAACTGCCTTACGAGCCCCTACAAATCAAGAAAGTGTCCTATGAACAACTACATTTATTGAAAGATCTACCCAATGGACAGCTAATAGACCGGGATGATTGCCCTATGAGCCTTAGAGACCTAAAAAAATCGTTCTACGGGCCGTTTACCAACTTTTATTTCGAGAAGAACAAAGGACTGCCCTCATCAGTCCTCACCAATTATGAGCAACCATGAACCTTGACGAATTACGGGCTGCCAAGAACTTTAGCGGGAAGATGAGAATGTGTGAACAGTTGAAGCGTAAACGTTGAGGAACTACTACAGCATGTTTACGAAAGACACCGAGTTCCCAAGTCATACATCCGAGTACAAATTTGCGAAAGAGGGGGGGGGAGTACTGTTAGCAACCTTACGAGAGTGTCGGCACCTCCCCACACTATAGTTTTTTTGCACTTAGTAGTCGCACCCTTTCGAAAACATTCCCCGAGGAGGGACGATGCTTACCTCTTCGAAAACACGCTAGCCTTGTTGACGAATTTGTACCCTCCGCACCCTCGGCAATCACTCGCCTCACTCCGCAACTTGTCAACATGTAAGTGCAAAACCTTGCCATTCTTTATTATAGAATGATCTCGGGAAATTGAACATTTACGCAACTAATTCTTTTTGGCGCCATCTTCGTATAGTAGCCAACTTTATTTGAATTTTTTGGGCCAAAGTCCATGGCTTGTACATTAGCTTGTCAAACATATCCACGACTTTGCAAAAAGTTTATATACGGACCCAATTTTGCTGGTTAGAAGTTAAGTGGACCCGTTTCATGCGCAATTTCTAGGGGATCCACTTATCGGACCCTCTTGTGCTTTTGCACAATGGACTTTTCTGCTGCTAGGATGTGCTATGCAAAATTTGGGCTCAAGAGGTTGGCTGGAACTCTCCCTACGAATTTCGTAACGGACAGACAGACAGACACACACACACAAAAACGTAAACAACCCTTAGCCCGTTATTATAAGTTATGAAATTTATATTTATTTATTTTTATCTTTATCTCATGCATGTAAACGTGTGCCAAAGCCTGTGTGAGTAATGAAAGCATTGCTAGAGTAAGATAGACTAACCTGTCACTTTCAGCAGAACAAAACAAACAGTGAACAAGGGCCTCAGGTGTTAAGGAAAAAATTTCTATTTGGTCAAGGGAGATCAAGTGATTGGCATTAGGGAATGCCACTGCTCTTTTTACGGGCTGTCCAAAACGCCTGCGATTGGTTCCTGCCAGGTATCCACCAACCTGAAACTACCGACGCTTGAAAACAACTGTCTTATTCTGGGAAAGCTATGCATGAAACGCAGCTGTCTACGGTCTCAAAGAGCAGTGCTGCTGCTCATCCGAAAGTGGGTGACAAGCCAGCAAAACATGGTTAGTAAACACGATAAACCGAGAAACACGAACACGATAAATCGAAAAAAACATGAAATCGTGAACCGATGTAGTAGGTAAGGGCTTCACGAAGGCGGTTGTCGTAAAAGCGATGTGGGGAAAGCAAAGTCCGAAACAGGAGTCGACAAGCGAGGGCCAGCAAGACATAGACCAGAAGCAAGCAGACCTGTAATGAAAACAGACCAGGAACGAGTCATAAAGGATTGCTTAGTAACTGGCAAATGTCAACTTTCCTCAGTTTCCTTTTGTAGGCTTCACAGTTGTCAGCACTCAAAACTTCGCGAGGTGTGCACCGTAACCATCTAGCTCCTCGACAAAAAATATGATTGAATAACAGGTTGGCATGTTTCCTCTCAACTTTTGGGTAATGCAAGTTGAAACCACCGTGTCTATCGTAAGCAGGCATAAAGATCCAGTAATCGCTGGGATTCACTCCTATTCATAATACTTGCAAATAATAAAAACCGTCATATTGAATAACAAATTTTTTGATGTTTATAGTGTACTTGAAAAGTTATCATACTCAGCCGAAAATGCTACTGTGATCGTGTACATCGCCTTGACAGCTCACGGCAGTGCGATATGATACGTTAAAATGAGTCAAAATTTTGTTCAGTTTAGGATTTATTATAAGTTACAGCAGTGCAACATAAGAATCGTTTTTTTTTTCGAAATTTCTGACAATGAAAGCATGTTTAGTCAAAGTGGCCTTTTTAGATGGGATGCCTACCACATTGAAGGGCATAAAATACTAATTTCAAATCTGTCTACCTGACTGTATCATCTGAGGGCTAGTAACATTTTAGCAACTTGTAGACGTTGCTTTCGAGCTACACCAAGATTGGTAACAATACTTTTATTGTGACGTCGACGCTTCGGCGTTCAACGCCTTCTTCGGAGCCTGGAAAGCCGAAGTCATAAGTGACTATGCAGTCAGACGTCAAGAACAAAGACGGAACAAATCGAAAAGAAGATTAGTCCAAAGAGCAGAATCAGAGCCAAAAACACTTGTGTGTTTTTGGCTCTGATTCTGCTCTTTGGACTAATTGGTAACAATACTTTTATTGGCTGACGTCGACGTTTCGGCGTTTAACGCCTTCTTCGGAGCCTTAAAAAAACTCCAGAAAACGAAACGTCGATTGAAAAAAAAACTCGCAAATTTTGTGTCTTTTCGGCCACAAAAACGAAACCCCATTTGCTTTTTGCCCCAAAAACGATATCCAGCTTGCTCACCAATCCACCTGTGCCGAGCCCTGCCTGCACTACATAATCATGCTTTGCTTATTTTGAATCGCAGAACACTCTGTCCTCGAGTCGTTCGTAACTTAAGTGTAATGCACACTATGCGCGTAACTCGACGAACTTGCAGAACTTAAACCTTTAAACTAACTAAAATTCTAAGTTCGCCCTACTTCCTTCTCTTTTGGTATGACTAAATGTATGTGTATTACTTAGCACTACACATCTTAGCAGTTTGTTACGCTAGGAAAGGTTTTAGCGAGATTCATTAGAAAGGGTGCCGTCAATTGCTTTGCATAGTGTGCAGATTCACAGATTAAGTTAAAAATGACTTGAGAATAAATACAGTCAATCGTCATTCTGACATTCGACAGGCGTAATTCTGACATTCGACAGGCGACTACCGCCTGCGCTGCTGCAAACCATCTGCCTCGTTGCTATGGCGACTATGACCATGCGTGCGAAGCTGCACCTCTCCATCTACACAGTCAGCAATGGCTTATAAAAACTCCACGAGCGCACTGCTTGATGATTCTCTTCCTAACTGGGCTCTTATTGGTGAGTAGTCATTTGTAGCAGTTTTTGGTCAGTGTGAGCTTTTATTCTCCATGTTGGGTGTTTGTGTGTGGAGCTTTCTAGATTGTCCCTGCTTCCATGTATTGAGGTATTCGCATCAGAGTCCGGCGCATATCGTATGGAAGCAGGCTGGACTTCGTTTTTGGGGCGACAAAGCAGAGGGGATTCGTTTTTGTGGCAAAAATTGGCGTTTTTAGTCCAAGTTTCGTTTTTTGAGGGTTTTACGTTCAAGGCTGATAATAAGGGGACTTCGTAAAATTTCGCAAAAGTCAAGGGGACCTCGTTTCCAAGAAGCCTAAAAACGAACTCATGCTGGGCCCTGATTCGCAACCTGGACATGATTTTTGCAGGTTTTGAAACAGAAGTCCAGATAGTTTGTGTCCAAAATCAAAGACTTTCTCTAATTTTGAACTCATCGTCTTTATTTATATATTTATTTATAAAATTACAATACACGATTGTTTTATGCCATACTTCAAATAGAAACTTATGATGTAATAAATTTTCATGTACACAAGAAATTTTGTCCTCTAAACATATTTAACTTTCAAATAGATATTAGACGCAGAGGTAAAAGTTGCCGAATAATTTGTTTTCCTTATTTCTACTTACAAAACAAAGTCTTTAAAGTCTGTCATAGGGACAGTTGGTGAATCTTCGGAAACAGAGGTACGAAGTCAAACATGATTTTATCAATTACATAGACAAAAAATTCAATAATTTTCCAGAAAGTTTGTAACATAAATGGAGTGTCCAAGAATAAGAATTTGATTCCTCTTCTCTTTTGAAGAAATTGAGGTGCAACATTAGAAAATTCAACTCATGGGTAATTTTGTTCGGCATTTCGAGCTTCAACTATATTAGTGTTCCGAAAGTTTTATCGGTTTTTTTCATCGCTCACTAAAACCCAAAGAACACTAATTTATGGACGATCTAGGAATCATTTAATTCAAATTTTTATACTCTTTCTTACTGCTATGTTTGCTCTCTGATCTATCCTATCTTTGCAATATTATCGCCATTGCTTTTTAAGCAGTTCAGCACTAACGCCGAATATTTTCTGAATTTTAAAAATTTTTATACTGCTGTTTCCGAAGAGCGCTAGTAACTGTTACGTAGAAGCTACATTGTGTTTACTTTAGATTACATGGTCACGTTTATCAAGTCCTTTATAATTATTAATTTAAGAAAACCCGCGGTTTTTTTTTATTACGTCTACCACGTAAAGTTACCGAAAATTCCAAAAGCTGATTTTTCAAAGCAAATTAAACTTGGTTATTAATTATTGTTTATTAGCAATCAAGTTTCAATTCGCAAAAATTTCAAGTTTGCTGCAGTTGCGTGTTTCATGACTTTGCCAAAAATTGAGACCTCCGAAGAAATAATTTTTTGAAGCTAAAAACTGCATATTAGGAGAATCTAAAAGCATTGCCTTGTAGTCCGAGAGTTGTTCTATTTGTGCCATATTTAACCACCTCCTGAATTAGTATGAAATTTTCGAAAATTAGCCTAACTTTAACTACAGAACGGGCAGATAAAAATGACGGGTGAAGAATTGTAACAAATATCAAAAAAAGCGCACAGGATTATTGCTAGAAGATGTAACCGTAAGAAAGAGAAGGAAAAGCTGCATCGAATACATGTTGGAACTCATTCAGATCTTCATTGTGCATAGTTTTATAGCGGTTTGAAAAAACCGACAAAACTTTCGGGACAACCTAATATATAGCCTGGAAGTTGCTTTATGAATGAGGAAAACTGTGGCGACTCTGTCGGCTCATGGCACCTAGATGTAACCACCTGATGCTCGCCCGATACTAAGCTACGTACCTAGCCTGCGCGCCTAACGCGCGAGCGAAAGGAACATGAGATAATTTAAGTAATATATCCTTATGACATCACACTACAGCTAAAATAGGCAAAAGGAAATACTAACCCAAAAACTAATTATCACTACTACCAAATGAAATTCGGGACGACGGCCCGTCCCATGCTACCGATGCGCGTCTGGGGAAGTAATCTAGAATACATGTGGCTCCGGGGTTTCGCGCAACAAATCCACCGCGCAACGCCGAGGTCTTAGACGACGGCACGTCCCCTCCTGCTCCTGTGGATGTTAGAATTCCAACACGCAATTCCAGTCAGTACTACGGCGCGTCTGAATGCGCTAAGGCCTCGGACAGAGTTCACGCGATTTGATCGTCTCGATTTCCATTTTTTTCCATTTCGCTGCGATTTCCATTCATTTCCATTTTACGTTGAAAATTTCGGGCTGGAAAAGTATCACGACCGAAATGCAAGCTAGTCGGCATGCAGTGAACTCGTAACAGTTGTCTTGTCGCCGGATAGCACGGTAACCGATGCCCCCGGCCTCCGTACTTCGAGGAGCGCCTTGCATCGCGAGACGCGACAAAAACTGTTGAAGAAAACTTTTGCCAAACCTGATCGGATGGACACGATAACCAAAAATGTGATAGAATATTTGGTTCAGCTAAACAGTTGCGCGGAATTAAAGGGTAACGAGATTATCTTAACGAGATTATCTCAACAAACTTTGTGATTCCTTCAATTGACTACAATTTCAACTTTTACTATTCTAGTTTACTTTAGTTTACTTATGAAACAATTTTCCAGATGAGATCTCACTTCCTTTACTGGAGAGTGGCCTCGCACGATTTTCCACTCTTCAAGCAGTGCTACCTTCAATCCTAGCTTTCGATGCAAATTCGCAAGAAGCAGCTCAACGAAGTCAGAAATTGCTACGGATTTCTCAATTACAAATAGAGCATCTATTGGTAACATTCTGCTAATCTATGCTTGAAAGTAAGCAACGCAATTCACTGTTTTTCTAGAATTCACAACATCATTTGTTACAACAAGTTGCAAAGCTTGATGAAGAACTGAAAATTAGAAGAAAAGAGGTAAAACAATTGAAGGCCAACGCCGTACAAGAAACTGCATCCTTTTTTCAAGTGAGTTCTGTCTTTGCTCTCGTAAACCAATAACGCTAGTAGATAAGTAATGCAGAGCTAGTAAGAAAACTGTGAGTCACGAAGAAGAATATGATGGTTTATGGCTCATTGAATTAGACTTTATTCAATTCGTAAATTATTTGTGAAGGGCAGCTAAAGTGGTTTTGTAAAAGATATTTTTTGCCAACAATTTCTGACAACGAAAGCGAAAGCAGCAATCTAGAAAAAGTTCTTGCTATTTCTTCTGTTGGTATAGAAATCAAGAAAAGTTATTCGAAATAGTTATGTTTGATATAATCATATCATATTGAATATGCACTTTATTTTTGCACATGGAGAAAATTTGTCTATTCGGATTATAGTCCACTGCTAACTGAACTCCTTTTCTAGTGCTCCTCATGTGGAAAAATCTTCCTCAATCAGGAATTTTTGAGCAGCCATCTGATGCGAAGACACAGCGATCAACAATGCAACTGCGTCAGCGGATCGTTCTAGCAAGTGCCAACCTTTTATTATCATCCAATAAAGATTTTTTTCTCGATTTACAGATGTGAAATTCTACAATATGTTGGCAAGAGTATTTCCAATAGAAAATGAAACGAGAAAGCTTCAAAAACCATCACAAAAATCGCATCGACTGGAAACCTAGATAGTTTTACATTATGGCAAATGGTGCTTTTTTTCTTGAAGTTTACTGTCGGACGATGTACGACCAGATATGGGGAGCCACACATTGTTTCACAAATATTCTCAGCATACCCTGCAGACAGAGCACAAGCAGATCAAATAATTTATGATGATGAAACGTAAAGGCTACCCTAACGAGGGTGGATTTTCTAATATGCATTGCGGGTGCAAGTGCTGAACGAGCACCTCATCATTAGAACTATCAAAGTTAGAGTATACCTTGCTTCCCGAAAATCGCCATCGTCTGGAACTAACCTATGTGTTGATACTTATCAAAATCAGTGATAAGGAAACGGGATGTTCATGAGTAGCTAGACTGAGAAGTCAAGATCATTCTCATTTCTGTACTGCAAGGAGCAGCTGGGAAGCATGGACGTGCCTGAAGTTCCCGAAGTGGATGGTCTCGAGGTCCTCGACTTCAGCAAGAAGAACGAGGTCAGCTGAACTGCCGGTAATCTATGAGGGACGTTGTCAAGCACTGTAGTAGGAGCATCTACTACCAGTGCTTGACACTACAGGCTGATTCAGGTGTAAAGACTTCAGGAAGAGTCAAGCCGCAAGCGGTTTTAAGCTTTGTTCGAGATGATATCGTTGCGCAGATGCTCCTGCAATGCTAATAAAAAGTCGATGTAATGCATCAAAGTTTCGAAAATTCACTCAGTCGGGACACTATCTTCATAAAACTGAAACATTGTTCAATTTGATCCTCGACTTCAATCATCACTTCCAAACTTCTTATTTCCCATTGATGAGGTATAAACACACCCGAAAATTGCTTTTTGGGTTTTTTTCGGAAACTAGGACAAGTGATTTATCTTTCCAACAACAAGCAGAAATGCTAGTGTGAGACTTTGCCTGACGAGAGAGCTATAGTGTGGACCCCGGCCAGGTTCTCACATGTACCTCCGCGCCGCGCACGCAGCGCGCGTTGGGCTGCCTCCTAGGCACCCTCGTGTTTTCGCGTCCTTTCAAATTTCTAAGCTTCTTTCTTCTTCTTTCTCCGTTCTTTGTGCTTGTACTCTGTATTTTAGGCAAGATATGGCAGATAACCGCTGCAACACGCCGTCTTCCCTGTTATCCAACATGTTTGAGTGGCTAAATCAGGTAACTCGGTCTTCCAGTTGCTGCAGCAGACCCTTCTCTTGAATTTTGCGGAATTTGGGACAGGGTCGCACACATTGTTTGACCAAGACACCTGTTCTCTTTTGTCTCCATACTTCAAATAATTGTAGATGAAAAGATCACAAGTGTGATGGTCCAGATACACAATAAACGTGCTAAACACGAGATCAAGCTTGTTTAGACAAAGTGTGCGACCCACGAGTCCTCGGACAGGACTTGAGGTAACCTAGAAAGAAACTTCAACAGAAGAGTCCGCTGCAGCAACTGGCAGACCGAGTCTTACCTGATTTAGCCACTCAAACATGTTGTAACAGGGAAAACGGCGTGTTGCAGCGGTTACCTGCCATATCTTGCCTAAAATACAGAGTAAGCACAAAGAACAGAGAAAGAAAAAGAAAGAAGCTTAGAGATTCGAAAGGACGCGAAAACACGAGGGTGCCTAGGAGGCAGCCCGACGCGCGCTGCGTGCGCGGCGCGGAGGTACATATGAGAACCTGGCCGGGGTCCACACTATAACCATAAGGGAGTCGCAGACCAGTGGGAGAGGGGTGGAGCAGTGGAGGAATTGGATTTATACTGAGGCGGCAGTAGGGACTAGTCGCTAGGGGACGATGGACGACTAGGCAATGCCTTCAGTGATTTGAAATCTCACAAAAACTCCAATTATCTTTTGCAGGACGGCTCTCCACATCCTTATGAAATCCGGCTTTCAAATGGAAGGAAAGTGTTGGTACACGAGGAAAATGGTACCAAAATTATACTTCGCTAACAGTCGTTGGAGTCCGTGTCTTACAGCTTACCAAAACTTTTATGAAAACGAAAGATCATTTGAGGATTTGGAAGGAAACAATGATGGTGAAAAGATCGCATTTGAATTTGATTTTCAGGTCCATAAAGATGGGCTCAAAGTGAGTAACTAGCTAGCTCTCTCTCATCGCTTTTCTACACCGACCACCAGATTATATAACTTAACTTGTCGAATATGAATTTATTTGTTCAAAACTCTTTTACACTTCGCTCATCCACTGTGAAAAATCAACACAAGAACACCTCAGCTTTCTCTAGACTATTGAACTGCACCATTTGAGGAGCTGAAAGTTGTGGGCAACACAATACATTCCAATCCAATGGCTATATATCACGCAAACGTGCTGTGGAGCTATGCTTACGGTCTTTCCGTCGCCGAGGAGGATAAGGAAAATTCCGGTACTATGCAAATCTTCGAAAGCCTCATCATAAACCTTTCTGTTATTCTTCCCCAAAAAAAATCAGTCTCGTACGATATAGAAATTCATTAGCATTTAGTTCTGCACATCTCAAATATATACGATTCATGATACGCAAAGACTGGGCGCCGTTGCGTCCTGCCAAGATAGTTCGTGCATGGAAGAGACAGCGATGGTAACAGAGATGATAGAGCGTTTGGTCGGAAAGACGCCGATACATCCGCAGTCTTTGCATGCTATGAATTGCCCATACCTCCCTGTTTAGTATCAACGGTTTAAAATGATAAGGTGTTTTTTAAGAACCCCCCGGCAATTTTTTAATACGTTTCGGATCGCGAAATCGCGCACGGCGAAAAAGAGTGTACTTCCAGCCGTTAACCAATAAAAAGACCTTATTTCATAAATTGTGTGCTACATCTGTAATCAGCATGTCAGATAAGCTCCATACCCAAAGTTGTGAGTGAATTCGAAGTATTTAAATTTGTCGCTTGAAAACGACTTCTGTGCTTTCTTGAAAGACGGGAACAAGGACTCAGTTTCCAACAGCACCCAAAGTATCTATGTTGTACACAATACACATCATTACTAAAATTACTGTTTTTCCCTTTGAAATAGAAGCAAAGAGAAGTTGCGACGTCGCACGCGTCGTTCGCGTTCCCGCACCTCGTTGCAACCGTTGTTCGATTTTTCTTCATATCTTCTAAACAAATATCTGCGGCATAGCTCTATAAAGTAAAAAGAAGGAGCTTAGGCCTTTGACTTGTTAACCTTGGACAAAAAGAAAACTTCCTGTAAATGTTAAAAAGAGCCTTCAAAGCCGCGTGCTGCACCATGTGCAGCACCGGTCCGAAACGTGTTAATCTGACACTGGTAATCATAACCAGAGTCAAGCGTGGGGTGTGGCACGCCACACCTGGTGGTCGTATCGAGGAGTCAAAAGGGGAGGGGGTCGTTGGATATTCTGATATTAGTTATGACATGATATTTGTGAGCAGTTTGTCAGGTAAACCCAGGTAAAAAATCACATGAGGTAGACTATCTTAGCATGCCAAAGACGTGTTACGAAGCTTATTGAGTATCATATCCATAATTAGCATGTCAATCAACCCCTGTAGACAAAGTTTGAGCAAATTCTGAAGTTTCAAGATACTAAGCCACCTAAGTGAAATGGTCATTTTCCAACATGATTAACTTTGTTTCAAAGTGAATTAGTTATTCGTTTTTGCACTCGAAACGAAGCACTATTCTTTCTCTGTCCATGCCTAAATCCCGCTTTGAAAAACTTCCAAATTATGGGTTTAGAAGCCAGCCAAAATTCCTTTTTTACCAGTTTTTCGGTTTTGATGGCTGTGCTTTCACCGAATATTACTCAGAGCTTAGAAGATGAATCAGGCTCAAATCACTCTTATGGAATCTAACGAGATCTAAGCTAACGATTCGTATAAGTATTGTTCGCTAAAAAAGTTTTTTTTTTGATATAATTAATGGGGTCTTGCACTGCACTTGTGGCGGCCACAGCTTTTAGGAGGTTGTGCCATACCCCATTAACTATATCAGAAAAACATTTTCAGCGAACAGTATTTACATGAATCGTTAGCTTAAATCTCGTTAGATTCCATAAGAGTGATTTGAGCCTGATTCATCTTCTTAGCTCTGAGTAATATTCGGTGAAAGCACAGCCATCAAAACCGAAAAACTAGATAAACGAAATTTTGGTTGGTTTCTAAATCCATAGTTTGGAGGTCTTTCAAAGCAGGATTTCTGGCATGGACAGAGAAGGAGTAGTGCTTCGTTTCGAGTGCAAAAACGAATAACTAATTCACTTTGTAACAAAGTTAATCATGTTGGAAAATGACCATTTCACTTAGGTGGCTTAGTATCTTGAAACTTCAGAATTCGCTCAAACTTTGCCTTCAGGGGTTGATTAACATGCTAATTATGGATATGTTGCCGTTATGTTTGACAGGACCTTCAAGTAAAGCTATTAGGTACATAGCTCAGGAGGTCTTATTGACACAGCAATTAGGGGGGGGGGGGGGTCGTAACCAGTGATCGTGTGCCACACATCTTGCTTGACCCTGATCATAACAACCGTATGCGGTGTTTGAGTTCTACTTGGATTTTTAAAAAAATTGATAGTGATCTGAAAACAGCTGTGTTTCTTTCAGATTTACTATGTCAATTCGAAATGATTTCATTAGGACCGCATTTCTCAAAGAAAGGAGAAATAGTGAAAGGAGGTATTGTATAAGGTTTATTCCCAAACGGAGGCCTATGGTTCAGTGATGCGAAGTAGGTGCAAAGGCTGCCGTGGAGCATTTTTATCGTTAGAGCGCGTTGAGGTGCAGAGATGCTAAGCAGATCTGCGCATTGCGCCAGCGTACGCTCCGTCTATGTGGGCATCGTTTTCGTCTGGAGGCTATAGTTATTCACAGTTGTGGTAGCAGGATGTAGACAGGGCCCGGCATGAGTCTGTTTCTGGATTTCTGAAAACGATCAAAATTTTAAAAGTTTCCTTTGACCCTTAACGGAAACGTCGACTAAAAAACCCTACCTAAATTGTGTTTTTTCGAACCCACAAAAACGTTATCCTCTCCGCCCGAAAACGAAGTCCAGCCTGCTTCCATGCGATTTGTTCCCAGCCCTGGATGTATTAGGTCATCCCAAAAGTTTTTTCGTATCAGACTTTTCACCAGCATGAGTCTGATATTCTTAGACTTCTGATGAGAAGCGGAGTACCATTCGAAAGATTAAAGCAAGCTCTACAATATGGCTTTCGAAATTTCGTATTAGGCTTGATCCGCATCGAGTTTCAAGACAAATGGAAAAAAATCCAAAATTCCGAAAAAGCAAAAATTATCGTATCTTAGTCCAGAAACATTCTGCAAAGTTCCCACTTGCTCACGCATATACTTTCCCCATCAGACATTTATAGATACACTTGCTGCATTTTTCTGGCGGCTAGAAATCGAGAAAAAAAATAAAGGGCTCAATTTTTAACTCGGCCTATAATGAGTCTATGTTCTTCGCAATTGTGTCATTATATAGCTTACTCACTCAAGAATACTACCACAAAATTACATCCTTCTAGATGCTTTAGTTTTTGAGAAGTATTATTTTGAAAGTATGAATACGAAAAAACTTTTGGGATGACCTATAAATCGCGCTGTCAGTAACCAAAGAATCTGAAGATCGTGTAGAATCAGTGAACTTTAGGAATTGGGAACAACTCTCCACCAAAGCAACTCCCACCGGAAGTTCACAACATCACTTTACATTTGAAAGGGAAAGATGATATTGAAGGTATGCCGATCTACGGTTGGAAATAAAATGATTCAGTTTTTTTATTGCAGTACCGCTTGTTGAAAGGGGTGACCGCTTCGTGGCTGAGTCTCTGCTATCGCTCAATTTGCTTAATGAGGTGATGGAGCAGACGACAACGCTTACTATGAGAGTTAAGATCACAATTTCCCGCTCCTACTTTAGCTTGGACAAACTGATAGATTTAAGCTTGTGAGTAACCTAGTATATTCAAAATTTCGAATTCTAACTCAGTTTTGTGATAGAAAACAACCCAAAACGACTCCTGCTGCTGAAAAGATCCTGTCTACAATATTAGCTGGAGACAAACCTCCCGGATTTGATTGGGTGATCACAGTTGCCGAAGGATCACCTAGGGAGTATTTTGTGCATAAGAAAGTGCTAGCAGACGCAAGCCCAATATTACAAGTAATCGCCCGAATTCCAATTTTAGAGTGCCAACTACTACCGGATTTGTAGGTCCTTGTCCATACTCATTCATCTCTTCCCAATGAAAATCTTTTGATGATATCTCATGAAGATCGATTCATTCTTACTTCCACTCATGCTGTTGACATGAAAACGGTAATTTGGAACCTCAGCAATGTAGAAGCGAATTTTCCAAGAAAATTTTTTAGATTCTCACCTACCTCTACCTGCGCCAGTACGCAATGCCTCCATTTGATGCATTTGCTCGTGTAGGACGAGCACTCTGTGCTCTATTTTCTAAAGATGTAATCGAGAAGTTCTTTGAGCATTGGCAAGTTGCCATCGTAAGAGATATATTGAATCTTGATGTAAGTTTTCTGTTAGACTTATTTTGATGAGGGTCCAATTTTTCTCGCAAAGGCGGACATGAGTTATTTCCCTTATTTTGTTGTTTCAGCGAAAAGATTATAAAAACACATTATTGGCATGCACTCGCCATCTCATTTCCATATTCTCAGCTCCATATGGTGCATTCCCAGTTGCAAAACGAGTGGCTGTAGCAACCATGGCCGACACGGTAAGTTTTTCCATCCACAGGCTGGTAGACGCTAATTTGCGATATTAGTGGCAAATGGCTGAAGCAGCGGGAATCAATGTTGAAGAGGAGCTGAACGTAGGAACGCTCCCGAAAGGGATGTTGGATAAGGTACTACTCACTCCCCGTTAGACCGGTACCTTGTCAAATGTCAATGTTTCAGATTTTCTATAGCGTTGGAAAATTCCGAATGGTTGTCGCTGGTGTCAAGAAAACCGGTGTTTGAAAAATTGTGCAAAAATGTGTTTGAATAGTCTAAAATGTGTCATCTCTTGTTTAGGTGTATGATCGAGTAAAGGTTTATTGATTGAGTAATGAGCAGTGGCTTACTGAACTCTGCAGCGCTACAAACGGTTTGCGGGTTCTAACAAGAAAGGCTATCTAACTTATTGTTAGCTCGGCCTTTTGGCAAGGGACATATCTATTCCAGATCAACTTCAAACGTTGATGAATATGCTACTCCTAGCTGCCGCCGCCATTCCAAAGCGAATTGTGGGTTTTTTCCTGCGCAAAATTGGCATACTACTGAACATGGGAAGACTGCCTGTAGATGAAAGTTTGCAAGAAAAAGTGCTCACATCCGAAATAACGCAATTCCGGTCTTTTCTCACCAAATAGAAGCTAAACGCAAGTTATCACTTGGATGATGATGCCGTGATGCCAGTGGCCGATGAGTATGCCAATTTTGCGCAGGATTAACTCGCTTCGGAATCATGCGCGGCAGCTAGGATCAACATATTTGAAATCAGCGCTTGAATCTGATATAGATTACATGTATGCCAAAAAGCCCCTGCCAGACCGAGTTTAGGTGGCTTCCCTTACAAGAGACACGCGAGTGGCTTCTATATACTATTCCGCGAGATCTCGATCGCATCAAACATGCACTTCCCCACCAACAAACGAAGTAAGGGGCTTTCTGAACTGCTTGTCCGCAGCTAGATCTTATAGAAAAAGCTGGATGTCTGTTTGTGTATGTGTGTCTGTCTGTAAGTATGTTTTGAACAGAAATTTAATTTCTGAACCGATCCGGATCAATTTTTGCATACATACATGCGGAGCGGGGCGGGTGCCATAGGCTACTTTTCATCACCGATCGATACCGATTTTATTGATTTTTCAAAAAGTTGGAGCTTCGGGGCTGGGAGTTGGCAAAGGGGGTTAGTGGGTGCTGATTACGAAAATATTATCGTCAGGGTAGGGCGGAGCCGGGTTCGCCTTCGCCAGCTAGTACCGTATAGGGTGCGCTGAAAACTTCGCCCCTGTATTTATTACCGTCATGCTTGCAACGCGAATGAGAGGAAAATATTTGTTCTAATATCTGATGATCTCTTAAGTGCTAAATTCGCTGGAAACAGTTACAAATTATTTTTTATAAATTAGATTATATTTATATTTACATGAATAAGAACGTAAAACATTCCAAAAAATACTAATAATATATCTAACAATTATACAGAATTGTGTCATTTAATTATTATTTTACAAGCATGTCTGCACATTCAACTTGCAGAGAAGCTGTTATATTTCACAACAAGTCCTTTACATTGGCTACAAGATAAGTGAGAGTAGACGATATTTGCACATGCTTGCGGGAAGCAACCTTGAAAGAAAAGCTAGCAATTTTAACTGATCATTGCAATACTTCGACAATTACCGTCCGAACAACTTTGACAAAAATGTACTATCCTTCTCCTTTCGTTTGGGCTCCGTGAGTTCTGGGGATGGAAATCGCTGCGCATAAATTTTAGGATAGGTCTTCTTGAACTGCAATGGGAAACAGTAAGCACAGCTGTGTCTTAGACAGGACTAAACATGCCCCAGAAGACGTGAAGCAATATCTACCTTTTTGAGTCTTTTCCTCTTCTCACTGACTGATAGATTTTCGTCTGCGCAAATCTGATCTAGAAGCTCCAAAAGGTTTCCGTTGAGATGGCGATTCTGGTCTTCATACTCATCAGTCTAACGTAGTCAACTAGGACGGTTCAAAAATGGTTATCTATAGCAACAAACCTTTATCGGACGACAAAACTGCACTTGTTTTTGGGACAGAACTGGCACTTTCTCAAGACACTGCTCGGTTGTGCTGACCTATACGAAAGGAATAAATTTCAAAATAGACATGAACTAAAAAATTAGCAAGTATATGCACCTTTGAAAACAAAAGGATAATAAATAAAAAAAATCCTTGCCTTCTCTCGTTGACGCTCTCGCACAGTAGCATCAACATCGGAGATTAGACTTGCGGGCACAGCAAATACTTCATGTTCGTAATCGAGAAGAACGGTTACCAAATGGATGCATTGGGATGGGCAAAGTGGGGGCGACTCCAATCCCATCGAAACTATGCACCCAGACAATCCTTTTAGTACCTTCAATCTACGTTTTGAACAGTCAGTTATAACGTTTTCATTTGACTAACCGCATAACGATTTGAATGCTGCGGATCTAGCTGCAGACAATGATTTGCGGCAATTTTATTCATGAACCGGATAAGATGATGCAGTCGTCGCCTACGGGATGGTGGTAGGGTCAGGAGAATGAGTGAGAGAGCCTCTAGCGTTACTGGACTTGGTTTTGGTGAAAGCTCTGCAAATAAGTCAAAGATCTTCCGTCATCAACTGTATAATCAAGAGGCATGGAAAATCTAATTTTGGCGGAATTTAGCTACCTTCACTAAGCCCGACTGGAAATGTGGAAGTGTTGGCGGTTCTGTATGACGACGCAGAGGCGGAGTAGATAGGAGAGCACAGCGGCTGATCTGCACATAACTCCGAGAAGTCGGGTAGGTCGACTGGATCTGAAAAATCAGTATGTGACTAAGATAGCGACAAAAAATTTTTTTTTCTTTCTAACCAATATGACAAACCTATTGGATCATCTCTGATTGTGTAACACACATCATTCGATAAACTTTGCAGCTCTGAAGCTCTTAGCAAACCAGGGAGCTCGATTGTGTCAATATCCTCTGGCAGTCCTTCCACTAAAGTGAAGGGTATGACACAAACTGCAGTTCAATAGCAACTCAGCTAAACTTACAATGGGATTTGCTTTGTGGCCGATAAGATCGACTGGTAGCACCACTGAATCAATACGAATATATTGGCTTTGGTATCACTTTGTCGTCACTCACTTCGGAACATTTTCGCGCAGTTCTTGTAGCACATTTCGACTCCTTTGCTGATAACAATCATTATTTCTAGCACTGGGCGGATCTGGACATTCAGTGTACGAAGAAGGGCTGGAGTTCGTAGAAACTGCAGAGGAAGCTCGGTGAGGTAACTGAAAGTGAACACAATAGAGACTGAAGGGATGTAAAAAAAAAACTGACCGTAGACGTTGCGTAACGTGGAACTACGCGACTGCGAGGAGGCTCTTCAGTAAATTCGGTCTCGATTTGCAAAGATGAACGAAAGCTCGATGTATCTGTATGCGTATTATTACAACGAACACTTCTCCGATAAAATCAAAACCTACGCCTGGGGAATTTTCTGGTTTCTTTCTTATCTTGGAGTGCGAGTACATGAACTAGAGCAGAGGCTTCCGAATTTGTCAGCATTGTGTTCTCACGTGAAAGACGTGAGCACACAGTTTTGAACACATTTACCTTCAAAGAAGAAAGATATGAGGACAAAGAATTAAATTTCACAGACAATGAACCTCCTGATTGTCCTTATATATAATCACGTTGGAGGATCCTGTTGGAAAAGGAAATTGCTCAAGGTACCGCATCAGTCGCAGTATATAACCGGAAAAATCCTCTACAACAAGTAAAGCATGAGCATCAGGAGATTTCAGTGGGATCATAGATACCACGCTCTGTCCGCTGTTTGACCACGCCACTGTTGCCGATTCTCTGACAATTCCATTTCACGTCCTGGCCGACAACTTTCCATCTAATAAAAGGCAACTCCTCCAAATGCAGTATCTGACGTAACCTAAATGAAGCTTTTGTCGCTTAGAGAATTATAATGGGTACCACGTGCTTCATCTACAAAAATACTCAAGATTAAAATAAACTCACAAAGGAAGTTCACTTAGTTAAAGTGGCGATGCGGGAGGAGATCTATACCAGTGGATAGAGCTTAAAGGCAGCGTCCAGGCAAATCTGAACCTATGGGGATTTTACGTGGAAAGTACTTTTAGGGCCCTAACTAAGCCACTGCCTAACCGGCAGCTCAAGTAGTGCCCTAACGGCTGAGATATTTCCCTCGAAACTGGACCCCGCGACCGTGTTTCGCATGGATTCATGGCGCAAAGCGTGGATCCTGGCGCGAAACTGCCACGAATCCATGCGAATACGTTCGCGGGGGCCAGTTTCGAGGGGAATATCTCAGCCATTAGAGCACTACATGAGCTGCCGCTTGGGCAGTGCCTTAGTTAGGGCCCCAAAAGTACTTTCCACGTAAAAGCCCCATAGGTCCAGATCTGCCTGGACGCTGCTTTTAAAAAGCTGATTTCAGATATACCTTCTATGTCTGCGATGCGTTGTTCTGAAAAAAGTTATGAGCTTTTCTAAAGCCAAATTTTCGTGCATTCTGAGTCCCAAAATCATGATAATCGCTACACAAAAGTGTGCAAGCTTAAGCAAACCACCTAGTAAGCATTGTAGTTCTAATTCGAGTTCATCCGAACGCTTTCGAATGTTTTTCGACCATGTTGTTCATCCACAGGTCGTCATATCATTCCTAGATCACACTTTCATTATGTATACAAAAAAGCCCCATAACCTCCATTTAGAAAAGCGCGTCGCGGATATTGAAGAAATATTTGAGAACATCGTTTTACGTTCTATTCATTGGTGGTTTCCAAAACTTTCCGACGCGACGCGTTTTTCTAGATGGAAGTTATGGGGCTTTTTTTTGTATACATAATGGAAGTGTGATCTAGGAATGAAATGATGATGTGGTGGCTCCGTGGCTTTCAGTGCCTTAGGCGGAAATAGCGCCTTTGGTGGAGCAGTGTAGCTGCTGGTAGACAAGGTAGTTCAGCAGCTTTATTGAGTCAATCAACATGCCCGCATGGGTGCAATGGTAGAATGCTGAGGATTGAAGGCGTGGTAAAGTAGTATCACAAACATCTGGGCAATAATACACTCATATCACAGCAGGTCATGCTTATGGCATGACCTTTACGGTGCTCAGGAGAGTTAAGTTAATGATAAGTTGCAAGAAGGTGCCGACAAAGTCGGCCAGATGAACCTGTGGATGAACAGCGTGGTCGAAAAACACTCGAACACGTTCGAATGAACTCGACTTAAACCTACAATGCTTATTAGGTTGCTTAAGCTTGCACACTTTTGTGTAGCGGTAATCACGATTTTGCGACTGAAAATGCACGAAAATTTGGTTTCAGAAAAACTCATAACTTTTTTTCAGAACAACGCATCGCAGATATATAAGGTACATCTGAGAGTACATCTGAGATCAGCTTTTTAAGCTCTATCCCCTGGTATAGATCTCCTTCCGAATCGCCACTTCGACTAAGTGAACTTCCCTTGTCAGTGCCATATCAGACTACTCAGACTCACTTGTTAGTGTACAAAAAGTTTGATGCTTAGAGTAAAGAGTGGTTATATTGCATTTGAGCGTACCTGGCTAGCAAACAATCCTTCCAAATTGACCACGTGTCCACCTCTGTTATGTATCGATGAGTAACCTGTAGAAAAAGTGACAATATTTTTACTTCTTTCTAAGAACGCACGCGTCAACTTAATAATAATAGTGACCCCGCTTCCGCTGATGGAGAGACTTCGAAAGACTTTTGGATGAGGCATACCGGACACACGGAAAAAAAACATCGACAGTAAAACTAGACTCCATCATGCACATTTGCAAGTCAAATATATCAAAAACTGCTTGTGCAATACTCAAACGTGAAGCTTACTACACATTCACAATGCGAAAACTTTACCTGTAAGGGTGCATAGATCGTTGTTGTAATCTGCGAATTCTGCGTACTATTGCTATTTCGTTTACGCTTTTCCAGGAGCTGAACAGATTCGGGCTCGAGTTCGTGGGTGTTAGCATTAGGGCCGACAAGTTTACGGTGAGCTTCACTCTGCAAATGTCTTATCTTTTGTTTTCAAATGATATTCAACTCTGCAGACCTTTTGGCTGGTTTGATCTGGCCTTCTTCTACGCATGAAGCTTAACCATTCGTATGCTCCATCCCGTTCCTCATCGCCATCATAAGGTATCGCTGATGTAACCTTGTTCTCAGGCGATTTAGCGACGGAGGGTGATCTCTTTTTATCCGTCAATGAAACTGAATAATTTTGTCATTGAACATTCCAAAACAGTATGTAATGAAGTGACTCACTCTTCTTGTTTTGTCTCCTGTTGCGAGCTGTCATCGCAATTGGGGTATTGTATTCCTTGATTGGGGAAGGTCGAAGTTCAAAATTGACTTCCACCTTTCTGCTGTCAATAGTTTCGGCTACAGAGTCGGCGGAATTGAAGGCCTAAATTGTAGAGATGCCAAAATATGAAGAGAAATTATTGGTCTGACTTTCTGCAATTTTATGGAACTCAAGAAACTCTTGAGCTTGAGCGAGCTTACCACATTTGAAGGCGGTATCAACGACAAAAGATTGCCATGAGAACTCGACATCCTCCTATTGAATCCATGCAAAGGTTTTGGTGATGGTATTTTCTTGTACGTGAACTCGGAGGGTGACTCTAGCAAACGATCGAATCTAAAAGAATTGTTTCCTGCTTTCGTTCTACACGAATGCAAAGCGGACCTGGGAGGAGGGGGAGTTCTTGCACGTTGGCATGATTCTTCACGGCATGAGCTAGTCCTTACCAATCTCGGGGTGCGAGATATACCAAGTAGATTGCATTCTTCAGCAAATCTGACAGAAAAATGGTTACACATTTCATTCAATACATATTTGATTAGGTCTAGAATGGTGCAATTTCTTTTCATGGTTTGACTGGAGCGATTCTTTCTGAAGTTCAAAGTTTTATTGAGAGCAATGTCCACAATACTGGTATGTGTTGCATGACTCCACTGTAGATTATACAGAGCTGGCATGAAGCAAAGAATAGAGTGGTGATATGTGGTTTGATTTGTTCATAAACTGCGAGCGTATGTAGATCTGACATGAGGTCAATAAGTGGAAATCCGCTAGTCTAAATACAAAGCCAAGTTGCAGCTCTGCGCCTTAAGCTGTAATATTTAAACTGTTTAGCACCATGAAAATACCAAAATTTTTAGATTCGAAACTTCTCTTTCTGTGCTGAGATCAAATTCAGCAGACATGCTTTGCTACACCCTAGCACGGGATGCAGCTAAAGAACGGGAGGCAGCCAGTATCAACGATAGTTTGTGAAGATATTTAGAAATTAGGAAAAAGCGCTGGGAGTTCGGTATGCCCCAATTCTCGCTGTTCGACACCATTTTCAACCCACCGAAAAACATATCGCTTCAAAAAAAAGTATGTAGAAAGATGCGGCATACTGACAACTGCGGGAGTACAGTATGCATATCTCCAGCTAAGCCCATCTTGGCGTACACTCAGCTAGAACAATTGTTCGAGGAGAAGGTTGGTCAATGACAGTCAACCTCTGGCAGTGACCTCCGGCCGCCGGCTGCCTTACCCTTTACCCTTTCCCCTTCTGAAGTTAGTTTGTAGATGAATATTACAGTAAGAGTATTGTACTCCCGCTACACATCAGGTAAGACAAGGCCAGTCTTATACCTGAGGCAAGGGCCAGACTTACCCGGTTCAGTCGCTTCGTCCTGGTTGTTTACCCCTAACAATTCAGTGATTTGAACAACAGCGAAGGAGCGAAATTCCGAAAGGAATCGGCACTGGCTGTCAACAAACCCACCGTGATAAATTCAACCTCTTCCGAATTTTTTTAGCGTTGCCCAAAAGAGACTGCAGTTTTCTTTAATGCGAAAAGATCTCCATACGATCTTTCTGAAAGCAACTCGGCCGCTTTGAGGGATTTGTTGTGAGGAAATGCGGTCGTATTCATCAAAGAATCCAGTGGATTTGCTTTCTTGGGTAGCATTGATATTTACAAAAAGCTCCACTGGGTTCGCTAACCCACTACCTTCGTGATATCAGTCTCACGAATTAAGCCCACCAATTTGTTGATGAATACTGCCCCTAGTTGCCGACAAAGGCGATAGGTTTATTTCGCGAAGTATCATCGGCTCCGCGATTTGTAAGCAGAGTCGTAGAAGTTCAGGGCCTGGCAGTTTTGATAGCGGAAAGAACAGAAAACCAATCCTATAAGGTGGAGGTTTAACAAGTTCATCCTCACAATCAGAGAAAGTCCGCGCCCGTCTCTATACGAATCTTTAAAGGCAGCGTCCAGGCAAGTCCGGACACATGGGGACCTCTCGTGGATAGTAATTTTGGGGCCCTAACTAAGCCACTGCCTAACCGGCAGCTCAGCTAGTGCTCTAAGCTGACAAGGAAACGATACTTGGTGTCCGTGGCCTTTTGAGATGTGATGAATACTATTACACTCATATCAAAGCGCTGATTCCGAATCTGACTTCCGTTTCTGCTAATCGTTTCTCTGAAAGAAGTTATGAAGGATTTTTGCGCCAAAGGAGACGTGGTCGCAATGCCGAAAATGCTGCTAAGATGTCATGTAATGGCTAGTGAGATAGCCTCGCAAGTTAATGTAGATTTAGGCTCGAGTCCGTTTGTGTTTTTCAGTTTTGCATTGCCTTACTCAAGCTTCTTTTTGAAAGCTAGGCATCCTCGGTCTCATTTCTCTTAGGCGACCATTGACGCGAAAATCCTTCAAAACTTCCTTCAGAGAAACGATTAGCAGAAAAGGAAATCAGATTCGGAATCAGCTTTCCAAAACGAGTGTGATGGTATACGTTTCATCTCAAAAGGCCACGGACACCAAGTATGGTTCCCTTGTGAGATATTCCCCTCGAAACTGGACCCCGCGATCGTATTTCGCATGGGTTCATGGCGCAAAGCGTGGATCCTGGCGCGAAACTGCCATGATTCCATGCGAATACGATCGCGGGGTCCAGTTTCGAGGGGAATATCTCAGCCGTTAGAGCACTACCTGCGCTGCCGCTTGAGCAGTGCCTTAGTTAGGGCTCCAAAAGTACTTTCTACGCGTAAAATCTCCATAGGTGCAGATCTGCCTGGACGCTGCCTTTAAGAAGCGATCACTGGTGCGAATGGCGCAATAGCGTCTTTCCAGAGTGCGCAAAGCCCTTACATCGTTGTGCACCTTGCGCCTAAGGGAACGGCCATAGGTTACCGGTCATCCCCTTAGGCGTAGAGGTTGCTGGGATTGCCGAGGTTGGAGTATGGGACTATATGTCGCCGAAAATGGGAGGTCCAGGCGGAGGTGTAGGTGTATGTGTTGTGGTGCCAAGGTGTATTTGCGACAAATACACCTTCTAATACATGCACAAACTGAGTATTTGCTGCATTGTCCGCGCGGACCCCTTCACTGTCGGCGACACAGGGGGGCGCTCGTTACGTGCGGGCTGCCCATTGGAAAACGTCGCAACGCGGCAGCGCGCGGGGAGAAGTAGTGCAGCAAACTTGTCAAATCTATACACCTAGATCATCAATGCTTCTTCTATACTGTTAGTCTTTTACATTCAACAGTTTATGTCTTTTTTGTCCTCCAAAGTGCTAATTTTACAGGTTTTGTGGGGTAACTTCAAATAATTAAGCAAAACTAATATGGGAATAGTCTGTGAACCTCAACAAAGGATGAGAGATTGAGAAAGTGTGTGCTGAGAATCATGCTAGCCGAATTTCCTGAGTACGGTCACTGGTAGCCTGTCGCGCGCGACGTTTTCCAATGGGCAGTCCGCACGTAACGATACGCACCCGGCGACACATAGTCCTCTAACCGCGAGGTTGCCGGCGTTGCCGAGGTTGGTTAGGACCACATGATGGCCTCCATTTTTCGCGCGCTCTCTAAACTGTCTCCGACCCCGGCAACCCCAGCAAACTCGGCAACGGCAGCAACCTCGGCAACCTTTGCCGGCAACCTATGGCCGTTCCCTAATACATCTTTGGGGTAATTCAAGTGAACCGTTCGCAAGGCTAGGTCCTGCGCCTTCGTTAAATTAACCCAGGGTTTGATTACTGTGGCAAAAACCGAACTCCGCTTTCATATGCATGTACATCGAAATGCTGATGCTGACATCAAATTGCAGAATGACGTGGGTCTCCGATTTCATCATCCGCATTTCAGGCTTTATTTACAAAGGACCGATCAAACGACTCGGAAGATTATTTCAAACGAAGAAAAATCTTCATAACCGAAAAACACTCACATATACAACGTAGCGTTATCGCGGAAGGGCTCCTTTTCATTTGCACCTGCCCTGGCTTTCTTTATGAAACTTTGATCTATAAATTTTTGCAACAGCGTAGTGCAATTTGACCTAAACATTAGACAGACAATTAAAAAAATGAAACCGTACAAAACACCGTAACTGATTTGCAATGATAGCTACCTATCAACTTGACGACCTTCAAGGATTAGGCGTGGTAATAACTCCATGAGAAAATCGACTGCTTCCTTTCCAGTGAAGGAGTCATCGAAATATGTCAGTTGACGACGATGTCTTTTGACCGGCATTTCTTCACGAAAATGACGAATTATATTGTTCCACTAAAAAATCAGTAGAATTTGTTGTTTCTTGAAGGAAAAATCAAATGCTCACCAGGGTAGTGGCTCTATACTTTTTTCGATCATCTGGAAAGGGATTTAACGTGTTGTCTGAGTGTCTCGAAGGAGTGGTTCGGTCTAATGGTGTTTTGACATCACACATGGTAATAACCTAAACTCATATTACTTGCCGAGAAAAAATCACTGAAACATGAACCTCAACAAGTTCAAATACATATGAGGAAAAACGCGAAAGTGTGGGAAAAGTCAAGAGCCATCTAAAGTTAGGATAGTGACTTTAGTGGAACATGCGAGTTCCACTCAAGCACGGCAGCGAACAAGCGAACAGAGCGCTATGAATTCAACGGGGTGACGTTAATGAGGTTGGTATTCCGCCTTAAATGGAAGACGCATTAAAGCAATTCTTCTGGCCCGGTTCATTTATCATCGGCAGAAGACTGTAAAATGCACACATAATCAATGTCCAAGGAATAGCATTCATATGACGGTGCATTAGAGGAGTTGTCCTATCATGCTAATGCTGAACTCCTATTGCGTGGCATGACGTCTGTGTGAAGCACGCTGCGGTGCAAAAGAGCAATGATGAACAGTTCGTAAGCTTCTATCATTTATTAAGGGACTAGGGGATTCAAAACCGCTTTGCACGCATTTTTAAAGCAAGCTTGATCGTAGCTAGCAAGTTCATACCTACTGTCTATCCAATGTAGGATATTTTGCTATTTGGAAATAGGAAAGAACAAGTTCAAGCTTTTTTTCTTAACAATGTGTGCAAAGCGTATTTTTCTTCGTCTGGGTTCATACTGATCCGTAAGTCCCAGAACAGTTCCAGTACAGTGCACAGTTCGAGCGCTCTGCTGGAACCGGAACTTACGGATCAGTATAAACCTAGCCTCAATTTCAGACTGAGAAATATCAAGAGCCCTGCGTAGTTATTTGTAAGATTTTTACTTCTACAATTTTTGAAAATATGGATTGGCCTTATGCGTGATGCAAACAGGTAATTCGATAAGATTTTTTTACAAACATCTGTGTCCATATTCTTTGCTGCAAACTGATAGTGCAAATAACTACATTGATATAACTATATGAAAATAATTTTTTTCTACAATTTCGCTTTTTTCTCAATGGGGCTGAGTTACCTGCTAAGAGCCCTAGTCATTATGATATGGTTGTTCTTTTCATCATTCGTAGTGTTCTCGCAACTATCTGTCCCACTGTTTTTTGAAGATAATGCCCCAACGACGGCTTTGGTTTTCTATTCCTACACCCCTGGCGCTGCTGACTCCACATCTCAGTGTGAGCTCAGAAAAAAAAAGATCATTCCAGAGTTTTTCTCGCTCTTTTATTCCCAGTGACCCGAATGACGCAAACGAGTCATCGGCACGAACTGCTTACAAATAAACTGAAAAGGAAAATTGTGTCGCTAAGGGATTGTTGAAAATCGAAGTAATGTTTCCTAGAAAGCTATGCTTTCCACCTGCTGAACTTCTTTGCAGTAGAAATTACTAGCAAGATTGCAGAAGAATTGTGTATGCGATGTGCAAACCATGATATGCAGATCCCTCTGAGTCCAGCTTTTGTATGAACTCTATAAAGCTACATCGTTTACGCACACTGATAAGGCACATATACACAAGAGACAGCAGCTTTGAAACCAGCGGTACATAAATGTGTGGTATTGGTAATGCCTTTCCGGGAGAAGTTTTACTCAGTCTCTTTCTCGAAAGTAGATTAACATTTAGAAAACTGCTTTTTGTAAAGAACTATTCCCGCTGATTTTTAGCCCGTCATCTTCTGTTCACTTAATTGACTCCGAATGAAGACTCATCGTGTAAGATTGACAATAGAAAAGCATACTTGACAAAACCTGGGCTTTTATGGCTTGAGCTTGGCGTAGACACAAATGGCTTTACAGATGAAACAATAGGGGATAAATGAGGAGAGCAAATGTAGTACATCATACAAATGCTATGATGGAGCGAATGTGTTTCATCGATCGAACAATGCAAAGCTTCCGGTGAATAACGTCCGACTGAATCAACAGGAAAAGTTTGTCTTTGGTCTTTTTGTCACCTAAGAACATAAGAGTGGAATCCTTGAAGAGATATGACTAACGATTAACTCCGAAAAATAAGTAGATAGCAACCCCACACACGACTACATATAAAGCCTCGTTTGGAACTGGTTCGAGGAACCGACGAGCTTAAATAGTCAGATATATTGAGCTGCACAAGCATGCGCCAACGTCCGCTAACCTCCTTTGAAAAAGAAGTAAAGAAAACGAGAAAATAAAACTTTCGCGCTTAAAGCGTTTGAAACTTTGTGTCCGTGATTGCAGACTGCCGTGACGTGGACGAGTTAGCTCGACTAAATCGGCGGGAGAATTCGATTTGGTACTTGCGAAAGCGCCTGTTTTGAAACGTTTGTGTCTTCTTCATTCTTTGCAATCCCTTTTGTAATGTTCTTCGTTCTTTATTCCTTCAATACGGTGGTTTACGCACAGAAACAAAGTGCGCGTGATGTTCATATCTATCTAGGATGTCTTTATGTTCATCATTTATCTGATGTTGTTTGAAGTTTGGCAACGTTCGTTACATTTTAGCATCATGGCCTGGAATGAGAGCTTCTCAGCTGCTGATGGAGGAGGATGGGCTGGTGATGCATCTTTTGCAACGGCGCCTCCGAAAGAGGCGCAATCAGCGAAAATTGCCGAGAGATTGCCCATACCTGTAACAGTGGCTGACCTTCATGACTCAGCAAATGTCGAGGAGAAGTATGAACTAGGAGATTATCCATTTAGTACGGTTAGTTTTTTGATTTCTGTAGCAGACGGTCTTATGGTCTTTGCAAATGGTGATTGACTGCGAGCGAGCGTGGTTCTTCGCAATGCAGCAACGCTCAAAAATACTCGGACAAACAGTTTTGCACGCGCAATCGTACATGGAAAGTGTTCGGGACTTCGTTAAATACTTTTGAGTTTGGTGCCATCCGGGTGTTATCCGGCTCGGTACCGCGCGGTCGCAGTCAATCGTAGACACTAAACACGTTACACAGGCGACTTTCGATGAGTAGGACATTAGAACCGTATTACATGAATCATTACGGTCTCTGCTGAGTTTGGAAGACACAGGTACTCCAAACTTCTTCGCTCTCAGAACTAGGTCACATCTTGGAGCGTAGGGAAGTGCTGATGATGAGGTATAGCCACAGCCTATGTGAATGAAGGGCAAATTCTGTGTTCTGTCATTCATCCAGGATGCTAAATGATTTGTAATAGGACTCAGCGCTCCACTCACTAGGAATGTGCTGTCAGTGGCCTTTGCGGATGAGTTCTATATCATTCGTAGGGAAGCAGACGCTGAAACCTGTAATATTTGTTGCGCGCCTCTCGACCCCGAGCTGTGAGTGCTTTCTGCTGCGAAATGAATGAACGACGACTTGGATAAAATCAGTCCTTAGTCTCTTTAATGCTTAAATAGGTAATTGGTGGTGAGTGAGAATATACTAGACAAGAAGTATTCATAGCATAAAGTGATTTGATACCAACTCTGACCCATTTGAACGGTTTTGAATGATATTGTTCACTTGCGCGGTCAATTTGAATAAAATCCAGAGGAGCACAGCAAGATTTGGAATGTGCTTTTCAGTCCGCTTTCCCGTAAAATCATATAGAGCTCATCCGGTCACTTCGATCAAAAAAACTTTCGCTCGTTAGTGCGGCGTTGACTTGCGAAGTTAGAGTAGAGTTTTCGAACTGAATGTCTTACGAAAAATCGCTAAATTGTCCCCTAATTGCTTTTAGTATTATTATCATTATTTGTTAATGCCTTTATATACCTCTACTTCTTTATGGGTCAAATTCCTGTTCATCTTCAGGTGCTCACCATAGGAGTTGTTAAATCCGTGGCAGAACAGGAAAACACGACTAATCATGTTCTGGGAGATCCCGAGGACATGGACAAAGAATTTGAAGTCCTCACATATAATGGGGTACGTTCCATGCTTGTTCATTTTGAACATATTTCAAAGTCCACGCATTTTAGGTCTCCGATTCAGACATGGGAGCAACAGTTTTTGTTGAGGGTACTAAAGTGTTGGTTGTTGGAAAACTGAGGTCGCTTTCTGATCGGCATGGTATGTTTTCTCACTTGGTCTGGCTTAGCGGCTTCCGCGGTTATCATGAATTTCGATAGCTAGCTTACTTGTATGTTGCAAACGGTAATTTTTTTCTGCCAGTTTAGCTTTATAAAAGAAATTGGCAGAATCTCTTACCTGCTTGTTTTTTTTCTTGGATGTTTTTGCAGAGGCTGCGTTTTTTTTCGCCTTTAGCTAAAATGCCATAGTTGAGCGACAGTAACTGGTATCAGAGCGTGAGGAGAATATCACTGCCAGTTTCACAAGACTTAAAACAACGCAGTTTTGGGTTTGGGTGGGGGGTATCAAGCTTACATCACCTTCCTTACTTTGATCACTATTCAGTCAAAATTATCTACTCCGTGCTCTTCGTTAGTGACTATTTTCAGGAATCATGTCATACAACATCAGTGAGGTCGTTGATGAGAAGGAATACAAAGCTTTTACACTTGAAGCCAAAATTGCGAAGCTATACTTCCAAAAGGTAAGCGCTATATATATGGTCAGCTCGTATGTCATTGCATCATATGCATTTTTTTTTCAAGAATGTTCCCTCCCTCTTGCGTTCTGGAATGGGTCAAAGCTTAGCAGGATGTGCTGCTGGTCCACCTGCTGACGCCGGAGCTGCACCAGGAGCAAAAGAGGTTATTATCTCGCTGTTTCATTCATTTTCAGAGATTTGGCTGATGTATGCGTGTTCTGTTTAGATGCCCGGATTTTCCACTCAGTCACGCCTCTACGATCAAGGTCCGTCTATAAGCCGTGGACACAATCTCGATGGTCAGCGCGGAAAGGTATGTGCCCACTGGAATGTTTATTTTCTGAGGCTTGTTCTTCTAAGGTAATTGATCTGTATATCTAGTAGTTTCCGAACGACTTAGCTGTGTCGTCTCATGTTTTTCTGCTACAACATACAGTTCTGAACAGACGTGCACAAAAATACCTGACGCATCATTTTGATTATTCACAATTTCGAAGCGCTGTTCACAATGATTTGATCACGCGTAGTTTTTAGAAGGTATGAAAGCCTATTTAGAGTATAGGTTGACGGTTAAAACGACGATTTATTCCGTTTTCGATGAAGTTCACAATGCTGCACAATGCTGCTACAAGCATGAATTCCTTTTTGATTCTTTGAAACTTCATTTTCAAGTTGCTCTCTATCACTCTGCACCAGTGTTTTGGCTTTAGTAAGTATGAATAACGCCTTTCAGATTATGGATCTCCTTCAAAGGGAAAAGGACAATTATGATTCCATTGGCATGTCAGAGAGCGATATTAAAAAGGTGGGCAAATTTGGATTCCTGTGTGCATGAGATGTTTACGATGATCATTTATTTAGGCCATAGCAGCTTCGAGTATGGATTCACTACGCAAAGATCTCCAATTTTTGGTTAATGAAGGACACATCTATAACACAACAGATGACGAACATTACGCTCTTATCGATTAACTTTAATACCTGATCCTCACAATTATTACTTGTATCATACGTTTTCTTTGTATTTTGTAATGAAGGTTGCTTTGACTTTTCGTTAGAAGTCGATTACAAATGGTCGCTTTTGTAACACTAAAATTATCGTAAAGAGGGGAGGGGATGGGTTGACGCGTGTGCGTACATTACATCCCTGATTTTGAGAAATTGCAAAGCACAGTCATTACAACCCGCTTTATTCATGCTAGCGAAATTTACAAATAAATGCTACTAACAACTAAGAGTTCGGAAACAATTCATCAGCTTTTTGACGGACTTTATTTTGTAGCGCATCAAGTAGGTGCTTGGACACGTCCGTTTTTTCAAAGGAGCCGAAGCTTTCCGCTTCTTTCAGGAAAAATGTCCATCCTTGTACGTGTCGGTAGTGCCTAAAAATTCAGTTGTTTTTTCAAATGTAAGAAGGAGAGTTGCAGACTTTTTTGCTATGTTGGCGAAATGACATATTGGCGCTGTGTGAAGGGGAATGGATGAGTGTTGGGGCTTCTCCAGTTATTGCGAAGTAGGAAAGTGATGCTTACACTCGTACTTCACTTTGATTCCCAATCTTTGAAAATCTCTCTACCCAGATTTGAAGTTTCATATATATAAGGACTTGTGACGACAAGGAAACATATATGAATGCAATAGAACAGCGTGCCCCTTCTAATAACTGCTTGATCCCCACTGCAAGAGTATTTCAAAAGAAAATACTCCTGGAGGTAGAAGAGGCAGAGGCAGTCCCGCCCATCAACATGGATGTTCTGAAGATGATAAACTGAATTTTAGCTATCTAAGTGAGAAGTGGCTTACAGTGACCGCCCAAATGTTGCAGACAAGCTGCACTGTTTTTTTTTCATAGCTTTCATGGAAAACAAAGGAAAAATAACCTAATTGCATGAGACTATGAAGCCCTTCAAGAGCTACTGCCCATACATTACCTTTCCGGAAAACATGGATTCTAAGAAATTTGGAAACCTTGTACCAAGAAAAGTTGGAAAATGGCTTTGTCACAATGTCCCGGATAACAATTCTTCGAGCGCGAAGTTTGCTCTTTTATGAAAGAAAACACGTGTAGTCTGATGAGCTTACTATCATATAGAGCTAATCAAACACTAAAATTTATTATACTTCTTTTGAAAATACACAAGCTTGAATTTTATTTTGCGTTTGTTTGGAAAGCAACTTCCAGTTTTCTCTTTCAAAGCAAAATTTTCCATGGAAATGGATTCATTCTAACAAGGCTACTTGGAAAAAATTAATGCTCTTTTTTCTATGCATCGAACGTGCTGAAGAGTTTTTTTTTTTGCTGAAAATGATCTTGGCAGTGCGTGCATACCTCACCTCATCTCACTGAGTTGTACCGTTTTGAAGGCTTATAGCTCGGCTAGGCTCATTCGAAAGACCTAGACTTCCTCGACATAATGATATGTAAATGAGGTGGGAATAAGGAGTTCTGGAGAAAATGGTTGAAAAAGAGCAGCTTTAGTGGTAGGCTAAAGATTTCCCAACTGAGGTTGAGCAGAGCTCTTTCGGTTACCAGTTTCACTCTGGAAGTTAAGAACTAATAACTTTCTCGTGTCGATTCAATTTCCCAAGACTGTCTTGGTGTTGATAAGAGCCTTCACCCAACCACCACTTAACTTTTTTCAAACCATTCTCAAGTTTTCCGAGATTTTTTCTCGGTCTTTCGATTGAGCCTACACACAATCTACAGGATGACTGCTGATCGGGCTACAAGCTTTCAAAGCGGTACTCAGTGGTGAGGTGCAGAGTGAAGAAGTCATGTGCACGCACTGCCAAGAGCCATTTTCAGCAAAGGAGCTCACCAGCACACGTCCGATGCATGGCGCATGGTAAAGAGCGTCCATCTTATCCAAATAGCTTTGTCAGGATGTTTCGAATCGCTTTCCATGTGAAAAAATTTGGTTTGGAAGAGGATTTTAGAAGTTGATTTTTAGAAAATGCGAATTAAAATTGAAACTTGTGCTTTTCTAGAAAGTAACTACGATCAGATTATAGTACTTGCTGAGCTCTATATGATATTACTTAGGTTTTCGTTGCAAAAAAAGAACATTATCGTGTTAAGAACTGTTGTTCGCAAGATTGTGACTTCTAGAATCCATATTTCCACAAAGCGTAATATTTAGGTTGTAGCTCTTAACGAGCTTTATCACTTCATGCAATCACATCATTTTTAATCACTGTTTCCCAACTGGAAATGAACTTTGAAATTTAGTGACCACTGAACGTCACAAACGGAAGAAAATTTACAGCGTTTCTATACTCTGGAACTCCGGACTCCTTACCTCTAGATCTTCTACGTTGTCAAACGGGGCTGCCTTCACTTTTAGAGCGACTTATCGCTTCTTGATTTACCTTCTGCAGAGGGACTTGGCAAAAACTTGATTGGGACCCGCTACTATGCCGCGTTGAAATATCACTACTAAAGATTGGCTTGGCGATAACCATAAAGGTTTTATAGCAGGGAATGCTGATTACTTTTTCTAGATGATGATTATAGGGACAATGAAGAGGAACGATGCCGCTGAGCGCCGATCTGCGCCGTTCCATCTTTTTCCTCCCCTTCCCCTCTCCCTCACCCTTTCCCCTCTCCGCCCTCCACAAACAGTTTTCCTGCTACCGCCAACGATAATTAGTACAGAAGAGACCGACTTCATTTGAACAACATACCTAACAACTGCTGTCTCCGATGGGACCAGAAATGCATCAGCATCTGGACTAAAGCGTAGGACTTGGTGCACACTCATCCCCTCTACCTAAAAGCAATTGTTGCAGAGCTGGGGAAAGTTCACTTTCTGGTTACCTTTAGCGGCTGTATAATGCTCTTTGATGTGTGATTTACTGGTGCAACGTGGCTAGTATTGTGCCAGATTGCCATGGGAATTTGTGCTCCTTCACTTCGCCAAAGTGTCGGATCAGTGGGTGCTTCTGCTTGGCGCAATACCCATCGACAGCGAAATCTCAGCTCGCCATAACTTTCTTTATCTACTGATCTGGAAGGGTTTTTTTTTTCAAAATTATATTGTTACCTCGTATATCTGGCTATCTTATTTTCTGAGAAACAAAAAATGGAGGCCAAAAGCTTTGATTTTCAGCGGGTTACAGCAAATCTTGACCATAAAAAGTGGTATTTTTGTGCTCTTCGGACATGTATAAGCTAAACTTCTACTAATGAACGCACTTGATAAAGTTTTTCAAGTCCTTCCCACTGTTCATGCTGATCCGCTCGTCGAGATCTACTGTTGCTACCCATTTGCTTCTTCCACGTGATCGATATGTGCAGTCCTGAATCATAAACTCGAAAAGTAAATGCCTTTGATAACATTGTGAGTTTGTGTTCACCTGAAGCTGCATTTCATGACGACATCTATGCCTTTTCAAGCAGTTGGTCTCCTCGTTTATTTCTATGACTTCTATTATGCCTTCATTGATGTAGGTCCTGAGTACAGCTTCTGTAAGAATGTCAGCATTTTGCTTGTAGATGTAGAAATGCTGAGCGCCCTAAAAACAACCTCATTGTTAGATTTTACTAAATAGTAGGGTGATTACTCATGTTTTTTCCTTCAGAGTGCAGTCATTGTCAGATTGGCAGTGCATGGTTTGATATGATTCGAGCAAAAATTCGTGGCGCGGAATCAATTTGATTTTGCGAAGTGGGAGTGATTTCTTACCTAGTGGTTGGTGAATGATGTTCACCAAGTTGGACTTATGATATTTAGATTCATCTAGATTCTTACGTCTGTCGTCTACAGAGCGATAGGCAAAACAACTAGAACGAGTAAGTTTTCTGCAATCACATGTCTGAATATAAGTCTGTAATGTATAAGTATTGTCGGTTTGACTAGTTTTCTATGAAATTGTTAATGAAGAAGAAAGCGAGTTCACATGTCACAAAACATGAATACTATTACCGAAGCAAGTATAAAAGTGTTATTAGATTTTCTTAAACTTCTTTTTCTTTTTAGGGGTTTCGCTCTAGCAGTTGCGTACCGAAGGGAGAGGGGGGGGGGCGGAAGGAGACCCCCCGCCATCGGAAAAGGAGGCGCGAAAATTTTAAAAGTTACTTGAATGAGTTTAAAAATGTGTAAGTAACTTATTTACACTTGTAAATAATTGAAATATTTTCAAAAGATTTCAAAAACTCAAATTAGCTTTATAAAAAATTTTCTTTGGGGGGCGTGGCTGACGCTACGCCTCCTTGTTTTAAAATTTCCAGGGTTATAGACCCGGGGAATTTTTTGGAAGCATTATTTCTCGGAGTGCGTGGCTAATGCCACGAACTTCCATTTCAGAAAATTTTTTGTCCCCCCTCCCCCCCCCCCCTCTAACGGAAATCCTGGGTACGCCACTGTTCTAGCGACATGAGAATCAATAAAAGCTCTCCGCCTCCATTTGGTTTACCCTGAAGAGCTTGAGTTCTGTTTTAGTAGATCTCATCATCAGCGCAGTGTCTTTATGATGACGACTCGATTGACATTCTGTAAAAAACGGAGAAAGCGCACTTTTAACGTTCCTTGAGCATTATTCACGCGCAAATGTTGTTGACACCGCAAAAGCACTTTAGTCAAGTCTACTAAACTATCTGTACTCCATATAGCGATTTTTGATAGTTTCATAGTTGAAATTGGTGTGTCTGGGCATACCTGTAGCAAGTAATATTCAATGAACTCGATGAGCATGAGCCATTTCGGTGAGTTACCCCACAGTGGTGCCAGGCATACGCTAAAGTAGTGCTGTTGACCTAGAATTCAATTTGCTATAGACAAATCAACTGTTGTGCCTTTATAAAAAAGCACCTGCTCGAGGTTCTTCAATTCTTTGCATCTCCGACTTGCCAACCTTTTCGTCATCGTTTAGAGTAACGGCGACAAAGCTTGCCTTTTCGTATGATCCGCATCGTGCAGTAAACTCAGGAAAAACCGTTATTTGACGTGGAGGAAAGATTTCCACCTGTTCTTTATCAAAGAAGCGGCAGAATAGACGACGCCTGAAAAAAGCTTTCAGTTAGCGCAACATTTGAACTCAGGAAATCAGATGTATGCTAGTTGAATGAGCTCGAACTTTCATTACTTCCGTTTAGGAAGGAGGCGAAACAGAGATCAATACACAACTTCATTTGTATTTTTTCCATACATTGTCAAAAATGAGAGAGAGTCTAGGGTTCTCTTCTTTTTGTCGCAAAACATGCAATCCATACGTGCTCAAAAGTACCTTCACTCTGTTTCATCGTTAGTATCACTATCACTCTTGCCTTAACTAATTTTTATGCGTGAATTCAGAGAACTGGTTTCCTTAGGCCCCGGGCAGACTTCACACGATTTGATCGTCGCGACTGAATCGCCGACATTTCCATTCATTTTCATTTCACATTCAAAAATATCGGGCTGGAAAAGTATCACAACCGAAACGCAAGTTGATCGGCATCGAATGATGTTGTAACAGTGGTCTCGTCGCGATTCAGTCGCGACGATCAAATCGCGTGAAGTCTGCCCGGGGCCTTAGAGACCTACGGTACGAATCAAATCATCAGCCTTCCTTGTTTACTTCGAATCACGGTGGGAACATCGACCACGGACCGACTTTAATCTGGCATCTAATCGAAATTTTGGAAATACGGGAACTTGCGTGAAGAAATTTTCATGCATGCTTGATCTTTGTGAGACTGTGACAGATGAGAGTGGCAAATTATTCTAGAAATTTTGAAACGTTTTTGAAGCAAAAATAACTGTTACTAGTGCACCGGCTGAATTCTTGAGATAATCTTACAATAAACGAAAAGCGACAATAAAATATCTTGCAGTGAATCGTAGGTTGAAGGCAGCTTTAGAAAATGTTATTCGATGCATCGCGAGATATGCTGAGGTAGAGAAAGAGTTATTAACGATCAAACAGAGTATACATAACTGTGGGACACCATGTAGATTCCTATGCTCTTGCATTTTGAGGATCAAGTATGAGACTTACAATATTATAGAAATATTAACGTCTCACATCATGTATCCGTATGACGAAAGAATAACAGTGACGTTCCCTTGATACTTATGAGCAGAGAATATGGCCAATGGATCTGTATCTCCATAGCGAATCAGCACCGATCTTTGTATCAGCTGGGAGGATTTGGTCGTTGCCTTCTCAAGTCTGTCGAAGTGATCTGTTCGTCCATTTCGAAAAAAGCCGCTTGTGAAGGTGATATGTCCGATTAACGCGGTTCCGAAAATAACAACGGAAAGAAACACGGCTAACAGTCGCGCGATGCATTTGCATCGCATCGTAGGGTTGACGTGAAGGCAAAGCGACCTACATCTCATCCGATCCATGTTCGGGATGAGGAACCGGTCCAGGGAATTAACAACAGCCTTCCAAGTAGCGCTCATCATCTAAGAAAGTAGCCAGCGAGTTTTTTTTTTCATAATGAGGTAGTACCCAGTCTTCCCTTTTTTTTGTTGAAAGTAATGACAGGATCATTGCAGGAGGAACAGTAGTAGCAATAGCTGGATTGATCAGAGCTGCAGTTATAGGGATTTGATAGTAATGGTTCAGCAACAGTCGCTAAGGAAGAGTCATTATTATCTCTTTATTAATAAAAAGGGAAAGTAGAAGAATAGGGAGTAATAGCACAACAGTAATTAATAGTGACAATAATAAATGAGAGTTGTATCGTAATAAATAGGCGATTGTAGTGATAGTGAGTATCGAATCAAAGAAGGAAGGCCCGGTCTTCCCCCTCCTCTCCCCCTCTTCCACCTTGCTCTAAGATTCACTACAAAATGCGACCTTTTGAGAAGCGACATCCGTAATTTCGGTGCCGTTTACATATCAAATTGTGTACGATCTTGAGTTGAGAATCAGCCAAATTCGGCGGTTTAAACAAAAACTCCACCCATTCATCCTTACAAATAATGGATAAGACTTCGTCCAAGTCGTGAACTTCTTGACCATTCCTTGGAATGCAAAAATCGTATCTAGCATAGGTTCTGTCTTCTGCGCGAGTCCTTCGCCTGCCTTTTCCGTGGGCGATACTGTGAAGCTTGACCTTAGGTTACTTAAAAGAGCCTCGCTTTTCAGATTATCAAAAGGTGATCTTCCAATCGAGTATGCGACATTCGTGAACTTGTTGCTATGATTGATTTTTTCCAGTGAGTTAGAAGGACAGTGTGATGACTGTACTTTAACGCAGCTGTGGACAAAGGTCATGGCTGAGAGGGAGAATGCGTGTAATTATAAAGGCTGCTGCATGACGAAGGCGCAGAAGCGGTATCAGCTGAGCGGGCGCGAACGCGGCGCGCGCGTATCCTCACCGTTGTAAATCCTCCGCCTCATGCGCTCTGCGGCTAATAAAGCCGCAATCGCGCCCAAAGGTATTGCGCCTTCGTCATGCAGCAGCCTTCAAATGGTTTGATTGTGGGTGGGAGTAGAATTATTTCAAGCCTGCATACAACGCGCGGACGGCCTTACTCTCAACTCTTCAGCAAAACCTAGCATATACATTTGACTCACGGCATGCAGAGACAGATGGCGCTACCATGTTTCTGATCAAACGTCCTTTCATCCCTCTGTCGTTTCGGTTAGCGAGAGCGAGACGATAGGTTTATTGGTAGTGGCCAAAAGCAAAATAGTACAATTGAGGCATGCTTTTACAGAGAACACTCTCTCAACATTGTGATCTCGTCAAAGATGTCTTACAGCGAGTACATAAACATACTTTAAAGGCAGTGTACGGACAAAAACTCGATTTTGAGATTTTGTGCTTACTGAGGCCTATTCGCTATGCTGAATCCGAAAATCCACATTGGAAAGCGCGAAAACGGCGAAAAAGGGCTCTAGCGTAGGAGTAAAATCAAAAGGGGGCGGGGTCTTCCCCACGGTGAATTCACGGTCCCAGCTTCCGGAGCGATCCTCTCGCTTCCGATTTCAGATCATGCATACGCACTTGGTCTGTGGAGATGTCAGGACGGTTACCGGGATTAAAAAGATCGGGACCGTGAATTCACCGTGGGGAAGACCCCGCCCCCTTTTGATTTTACTCCTACGCTAGAGCCCTTTTTCGCGTTTTCGCGCTTTCCAGTGTGGATTTTCGGATTCAGCATGGCGAATAGGCCCGGGTAAGCACAAAATCTCAGAATCGACTTTTTGCCCGGACACTGCCTTTAAGAACTGACGCATCTTCTTATTAAACTCGTTGAGAACAGCGCAGCACAACGTCATCAAAAGAATCGCACGTGGATACCTAACAAGCATTAAACGATATGGAAGCAGATAGATGACAAGAGTTTAACATAGCCATTTTGTATCGTTACAAACACTCCAAGGGCGGAATAAGAAATTTCAGTGCTTCCTGTAATGATAGCGAAACCATGGACTGTAGTATATAGCGAACCTATGCACATAATGTGAAAAGGATAACAATGATGAAAACTACTAGCAAGATATTCTGCACAATAAGTTTGGGAAAAAATCTGATGAGCTTGAAGAACTTGATGAGGTGGTTGCCCAATGTGTTAAGGTAAGAGATATCCTTAGCAGGGTTGCTACGATTATCTTCGGCAGGTAAATCTTCTTCAGTTTGATTATCGTTGAATATAGATGTCCATAGACCGTGATGTCAATCTTTCCGTCAGAGCAGCTGACAACGTAGTTCGCCTGGTCCGCCGAATGGCTGTGGAACTCCATTTGTTCAAAAAGCCACTCATCGTGCATTTAGCTACTTGATACTCTCTATGGGATAGAATAATTGCCAGTGTGTCTTCTTCTTTGCTTCTGCACGATAGTGCGAGTTCAGCGCTGGCTATACAGTTATAACATCCCACGAGATTACCCACATCCACTTCACAGGTTGTTTGTGCCTGATCATTAGGAAGTTTCAAGTTTTCTGCGGTAACTTGGAGTTGCAGCGCTGAACCAAAATTCGCCTTCGCATAGACTTTGCCAATTTGAGCGAATATTATGAATGACTTTGATATCTGTGGAAGTGGTTACTTTCCGTGAATTTTCTCATATTTCCGGAGATGCATACACAAGAGGCCTTTGCGACTCCTTGGTGCAGGTACAGGCTCGGCTGGCGAATACGCATTCGTTTTTGCTCTCTGCGTCGAGTGGGACACTGAAGTTGTCCGGCGCTCCGCGGATTCAGTTGTCCTTTGTGCGCTGGACTGATAATAGAGATCTTTCCTCTAATGGAGATGAAAGTAGCCGACAATATCGGTAGCTCAGGATTGAGGGTGTTAGATAGAGTGAAGTGGTGCCAGAGTACTGTTTGTCCAGGATGCAATCTCAGTATTGTGGAGTAGATTTGGAAGTGTTTTGAACGTTTATTGATAGTGGCGGAAAGCATAGTACAATCGAGGCATACTTCTATAGAGAACACTCTCTCAACATTGGGAACTATCTCGTCAAAGATGTCTTACAGCGAATACATAAACATCCTTTGACAACTGACGCATCTCATTATGAAGCTTGATGAGAACAGCGCAGCACAACACCTTGAAAATTATCCCACTTAAATACCTTACAAGCATTAAGCGATGTGGGAGCAGACAGACGACAAGAGTTTAGCATAATTTCTATGTATTGTTACAAAGACTGTCTGCCCTCTCCTCCAGACGCCAACTATTTCAGTCGGATGCAACAACGTCCAGTCTCTGCGTGGGATGATCCGACTATACATTCCGTTGATGATTGCGAGCGGTATTGCAGCGTGCACGCCTCGAGATTATTTGAAAGCTACTGCTACTCAAAAAAAGTTGGAAGAGAGAGTCAAGAAGTGTATGAAATACATGTGTGGTCCTGCACATCGTCACCTACGAATCCTGCACCGCCACCCGACTCATTCAAGTGCCACCACGCTGACTTTGTACAATAAAGAAGTTTTATTGCACTGCGCAGTTTTATCTCAGACTTTTGTAACTTTCTCTGTTCTAAATTTATCAAAGTTAATGAAAATCATTTAAGCAGGCTGAGCTTCAAGAGATGGATGTAGTTAAACTGATGGGCAGATGCAAGCAGCGTAAGTTCCTCGGAGTTGGTGTAGCTGTATCTTCTTACTCACTCCCATACTTGTCGGTATCGTTGTTGCTATCCGCAGATGGCTCCGGCTAAAAATGAGGATGGAGGCCGGCATCAAAATTTGTCTTTGGCATTCCTCCATTTATGTCCAAGTACGGCACTAGCAAATTTGAAAAAGTGAATGTAAGCAGAGTTTTTTTTAACGCTAAACAAATCTTCAACTGAGACTTTTGCAGGCTTAGTGCTCAAAGCAGTACGAGGACTGTTCAAGTCTTGTGCGCTTACTTCAAACTAGTATGAAACAAACCAAGCTGAATTAGTTTATATTCTTGTCTAATTTTGTCTCATGCTTTATGATCAAATGAGAATATCAGAGAATATGAATGAATGAGAATATCTCATGCTTTATGATTCAACTAGTTGACTTACCCGGCTCCACCCGGCCCTGTCATTATTATATTCGTAATCAGCATGCTCGATTACCCCCCTATGCCAACTCCCAGCCCCGTAGCTCAAATTCTGCAAAAAATCGATAAAATCGATATCGATCGATGACGAAAAGTAGCCTATGACACCCGCCGGGGCCCGAAGTGTATGTGTGCCAAGTTTGGTCCGGATCGGTTCAGAAATGGAATTTTCTATTCGGAACATACGTACACACATATTTACATACATACAGACATACAAACAGACATTCAGCTTTATATATAAGACTAGCTGGCTTACCCGGCTCCGCCGTATCCGGACCAAACTTGGCACACATACACTTCGGGCCCCGGCGGGTGTCACAGTCCACTTTTCGTTATCGATCGATGTCGATTTTACCGATTTTTATCGATTTTTTTGCACAGTTCACCTACAGGGCTAGGAGTTGGCAAGGGGGGAAGTGAGCATGGGGGTTCCGAATACAATATTAGTTTTCAGAATTATCGGTTACTTTTATTGATTTTCTCGATTTTTTGTAAATTTTGACATGCGAGGCTGGGATTTTGCGCAGGGGGTAATCGAGCATGCAGATTACGAACACAATGTTAGTTTTCAGGATCGTCCATTACTTTTATCGATTTTATCGATTTTTTTTGTAAAGTTTGACCTGCGGGGCTGGGAGTTTGCACAGGGGGGTAATCGAGCATGCTGATCACCCCCCTTGGGAGTGATCAGCATGCTCGATTACCCCCCTGTGCCAACTCCCAGTCCCCTAGCTCAAACTTTGCAAAAAAATCGATAAAAGTAATCGATAATCCCGAAAACCAATATTGTATTCGGAATCCCCATGCTCGATTACCCCCTGTGCGAACTCCCAGCCCCGTAGCTCAAACTTTGCAAAAAAATCGATAAAATCGATAAAAGTAATCGATAATCCTGAAAACCAATA